TGTCGCTCTTCGTTCTCTCCACCAGTTGAAGTCTTTCAAATCAAATTAATTAACTACGTCAGAATGAATATCTAGAATTTCCACGAATCACCAATAATTTCCGCATCAAATTCACTTAGTCTCAACTTAATAGTTCTATAAAAATACCACCGAAAAAAGTCATGACAAAAATCAATCAATTATTTGTTGACATAAAAAGATTTGAAAGATACAAGTGTTGAAAAAGTTTGAAATCAATTTCTTGAACAATTTGATCTTTTTTTTTGTGGAAGTAATGGATCGATAGTAGGAGAGAAGATTGGAATTTGATTTCATGTGTTTATATTATCGGAAAATATGGACAAAAAATAGCGATGATTAGGAAGGAAGGTAAAACGAAGAGGAGTCCTATCGTACCACATTCGTGTTCTATATCGATCCTGAACTCCCGTCGGCAACCAGCCAGCCAGCCGCATCCCTTTCCATGTGACACACCCGATCCCACTCTAGGGTCACAGCTATGGCAGACTAAATCTACGGGCTTTAAGGGAGTATGAACCCCCGACACCCGCGCCTTCAAGGCGACGCCGCTAAATTTTCCAACTTTCGACCGATTCAACCGGCTTTTTTTTTATTTTCCGCTTTTACTTGTTCTCGTTGATATATCGCGCGCCTTATGCTCGTTTTCGCACGAGCTATAAAAATGGTAGAGACCTCCCGCGAATATTTCGCGAGATAAACTGCTGCATGTCCGTCTCGATTTTTTTACCACAACGACCGCGGCCGGAATGACATGAAATAATATTTTTGAATTATGACAATCATTACGAATAGTAACAATAAGAGGCAAAAATGGTTTTGTTGTCACAACAGATCAGTAGTTTGTTTTCGTACAAGGAGTAATGATGCGTCTATAGAATAAGACTTCATGCCTACACGATAAACTTTCCATTAGAAAGTCCTCCTAATATTTTTGGTAAAATCGAATAATATAAAAAAAATTCTTACTGGTTAATAACAAATTGCAATTGCTATAATCAATACGTGGTCAAATATTTTGTATAATTATTTACAACATCATTTTATTAATATTGATGTAGTCTATTAACAATATTCAATTTCGATGGCCATTGGGGTGTAATTTTTGTGTTGTTAAGGTCAATATATTGTCCAAATTTCACCCTTTTCGAGTGTGAACCCTATAAATAAATGGCTAAAAATAGTAAAATCTTTAAACCTCCATAAAAATGATCTGAAGCATTTCCGCCAAAAATCCCGTATTGGTTTTTCATGTCCCATCAAAGTCAACAAATGCTTGAAGCTTTATTCAATTTGGAGGTGACACCTAATCAGAAGTTTACCCAAAATTTTTTATATCATATTTAATGAAATGTGTTGAGTTTTGAGTATGAAGATTTCATTGCGAGGAGGAACGGTCCCCTAGCAGCCAAATCAACGTAAAACTGACAGCAGACTTACATATGTATCTGCCATTTTTCTGGAACAGACGAAAGATTCTCGTCAGGAAATTTAACATCCAGTCCAGTCAATGTGCAGCAAAAAACAGGGTTACTACGAAATTTCGTGGCACAAATTGAGACCAGGCTCATTTTATAGAGAAAAATGCGCTGAATTTAATGCCGATTTTTCTGCAATTAACACACTTGTCTCCGAAGTGTTAAACTGAAAAGACCAACGAGAGTTGTAGTTCTTATACAGATCAGAGTGGTAGCTGTGGCTAAAGGGATGTAGCCTTGTAGCTTCCTGGAGAGCTGTAGCTATCCAAAGCAAGGAATCATCACAGAGAATTGTAGCCTTCTGACTAGTAGTTGGTGCTCCTGATTTTAGGTAGCAATCGTGAGTTGAAGCTCTCTATTAAGTCCGTGGAGGAGTTATAGCTCCTCGGCAGATCAGACAAGTTTGAGGCCTTCTCTCTGGAAGTTGTTTGCTCCTAGAGTATCTCAGGGTGAGCTGATTAACTTGTGAGCTGTAATAAATGTTAAGAAATAGAATCAAGCAAGCGTTTTGATTGGCTCGGCGTTACACCACGTATCGATGGTATGATATCTCGTATCGACAGTTCGATTGGCTCAGCGATAGATAATTGATAAAGCGTTTCTACTGGCTTGGAGATAAATCACGTAACTTCAGATTAAATTAGATTTAAGGCTAAATTAAAGATTATTTAGGTTATTTAAGGAAAAATAAGCAGTAAAGCCGTAATAAAAGCATCAATCCTAGACCAGGGTAAGAGAAGTATTTTCAATACTGGAAATTTGGATCAGGCACCTAGACCCGACTACTCCACCTGTCATCAGATCCTTAGAAGAGCGCCGGTTGATCAGAAAGACAATACGGACTACTTATAGCAAAATCCAGCTCATCCCTTCTCTTTTTCATCAGCTAATCAGCGACATTTTGCAAATTCCAATAATTTGCTCAGTTTTATCTCCCACTATCTTTTGTTGGCCAATCATATTTTTTCTGCTTTATTACTTCAATTAGGCTCCCGGGGTTACATAGATGTTTCTGTTCTTAAGATATGTCGCGTAACAACGGGGGCAGATTATAGTTCGTCGTGCCCCATTTTCGTATTGCCCTATATGGTAGTCTGAATGTGGGCACGTCGAACACGCCGAGCGCGAGACGTGTTAGCGACCGCCGACCAAAGCGGATAAAGTTGGTACTACGGGAGGCCAAATTCCAAGCCCTGTGCCTGGGGCTGCAAAGTCAAAATATGACATGTAGGCTTAGGTACAACTGGCCAATTGAGGTCGGACTCGTAGTGGTATGTTGTAAGGCCTCGGGCTTGTTACGTGTATCCCTGTGCCTGTTCTAGGTGCAGGTATACGCGTTCCGGGAAATGCCGTCGTGAAGAGAGTAGAGTTATAATTTCCCAGAGTTATGCCCAAAGAGGCGAGGTACTCAATTTCCGTCCTTCGGACGGGGAAAGCATGGATTTATTACTTCAATTAAACTGCTTTTATTACGGCTCTACTGTTTGTTTTTACTTAAATAACCTAAATAATCTTTAATTTATCCTTAAATCTATTTTAATCCATCATTAATGTACTTTTTAATGCATAGCGTTGGGACACATGCTACGCGGATCCAGTGGAACATTGTTGAGAACCCGGTACAATTGTAAATATTGCTCGTAATGATCCGGCCACTTGTGCACTTTTATTATTGTCTATACTGCTATATAAATTCCTGGTGTCTGTCTGTCTGTCCACGCAAATCTCTGAAACGGCTTATCCGATTGTAACCAAATTTTGCACACATGTAGAAGACGTTGTCGGAAAGGTTATAGGCTACTTCTTGTTTATGAAAAATGTGCATAACAATTGAATTTGTTATAAACAATAAATAATGGGATCTATTCAATATATTTGAGCTCTTCCAACGAAAAATTTTGTCTACGTATGCCTTCTACATGTGTACAAAATTCAGTTGTAATCGAATGAGCCATTTCGGAGATTTGCGCAGACAGACAGACAGACTTAGCGGCGGCATTAAAATTTTAAAATCCGGTGGCACATCTCCGAAATAAGTGTTTTTTACACGGGCCATTTAATTAACATTGCACTCACTTTGAATAGATTTTTAATTGTGTAAAAAGTGACTACAATGTTAATCAAATGGATGACGTTGTACTTAACACATTTCGGTGTTCAACAAGAATGCACTTGGATTTAAAGTGATATTGATCATTTCATAGGTTGAAATTGTTCAATATTCAATTTATTTCACAATTTTTTGGTCATTAATAACATGGTTCAACTAAATTGGTTTAAACTCTATGTAGATCTTTTTTCTTTCAGATGTCGTTTACAAAAGAAAACCAAAAGGTCAAAATATGACAAAATTTCGAATTCAAAAAATTGATGCTAAGTTTTCCAATGGATATTCAAAAATGGGGAGACTGGATACAACTGGTGTACCTAAATTGCCACCTTTTATTTCATATTCTTGCCAATTAAAGACTGCTTTACACATGCTGAATTCCAATTATTTCATTTTTAAAATGATTAATGATTATTATTAATATTATTTAAAAAACCTTAGTTTAAATTCTTTGCGAATGATTTATTACAATAATTTACAAAAGAAATATTGAACAAATTTATAAACAGCATACGGCATGTGTTGTAAGTAAAATATCTGAAAGAAAATTAGTTTGGTAGTCTTTAACATGATCTGATCAGTGACCACTAATCAGATTAAGGTCAGAATTTAATTATTTGCACCTATCGTTGTTTACTGCTTGGGATATTATTGATTTCTTGAGCTGTCCATCACATGTATTATTTATACACAATTCGAAGTCAGATTCTTGATTAAATGAACGATTAAAGAAATTAAAAATACACTGCAAATCCAAGTGTGTTATTCTTGTAGACCCTTTCAACACGCTAAGCCTTTTCAATATTAAAGACCGTAAACAAACTATAGATTTTTCACATACTATGAAGTGCATAAAAAGTGCCCACAAATTATGTGTAGTTTGTTTACGAACATTTTACATTGAACACACTTTATGCGTATTATTTTAACACGTTTGTAAAATCTTGGGATTTGCAGTGATATACTCATTAAAAAATATATATCAATAAGACTATTGACTACGACAAATTTGAACCCTTATCTTTAAGTGTCAGGAGAATTTTGTACGGGCATAAATGTCATTTTTTCTCCCTAGTAATATTATATACTTTCTACCGTAGAAAGTCAAATTTTTGCTTACTCGAAGGTCATTCGCTAATTTGTATTGAATAGTTACAAATAAAATTTATTTATATTTAGCAGAGGATTTTTTTATCAATATCAAATTTATCCTTCAAACAATTTTTGTACTAGAATCATTTAGTAGCAGAAATTATTTGCAATTCAGATTATTGTATAATAAAATATTCAATTGATTGTAATGGTAATAATATAGGCCATCACAAATATTGATTCGAACTACTTAAATAAGTGTAACAATTGATGTTCTATTAATGTATTTGCATTGTTTACAGTGCGGATGGCAACTACGAGGTGACGATAATGACTAAAGCGATCCTGCATCACACTGGTAAGGTGAAGTGGAAACCACCAGCTATCTACAAGTCTTTTTGTGAAATAAACGTCGAGTATTTTCCCTTCGACGAGCAAACGTGCTTCATGAAGTTTGGATCATGGACGTACGATGGTTATACGGTAAATATCATTTTTCCAAGTCAATTAAGAGTTGTTGATTGCTTTTTTATTTTCGTTATTTCAATAAAACCAGGATTTGTACAAAGAAAAAACGTAACAGAAAAATTACGTTTTCAAATCATGTGAGTGTGTATGTTTATCTTTAACAAGCAATCGAATTTTGTTGTCAAAACTGTATTCTATGCAAAGATGAAAATAAACAAACTTCAATTGGCTTATGTAAATAAATAACTACATATGTTCATACGTGAAAATAATGGAAAAATGGTTTCAAAGGCTCTTAGTTCTTTATTCGTTACATTAAATAATTAATTATCGATTCGTTAATTAACAATACATTTTCAAACAAAAGAAGAAGAGTACTTATTAGAAGTCATCATTGGAGAAAAAAAAAGATATAAATAAATAAACAAATAATCATAGACAATACGTGGCTGCGGGACAATAAAAAACATGTAGGAATGGCTTGAAAAATTAACAACATCATTTTTGACTTTTATATAAAAGTTATATACTCATTTTTCATATGTATGCTGCAGTCTACAATCTTCTATAGATTATGTGAAATATGTACGATGCATTTTCAGGTTCAGTATGGTAGCAATAAAACATACAATGGCTTCTAAAAATAATAGTTTCAGCTTTCAAGTTTTATTGATTAGAATATTCACCATACACTTTATCACTTTACAATGGATTTTTTAAGGCTATTATTCCTGAAAACTAATTGATTATTGATCACTGAATTGATAATGGTACAAATACAACTTGTGAGAACGAATATGAAATAAAGCTAAGATGAATTCTTGAAATGTATACCTTGTATGTTAAACACATAATGTGTATTTAATGGTAAATTGGTATACAAAGTGTAAAACATTAATAAACGCAGAACGACAATGCCTAATTCTAGACAAAAATGAAAGCTAACGAAAAGATAGTGGGCGCTGCGTACAGTGAGGAAATAATCCCCACTTTTTCTTATTTATTTAAGTCAATATCTTCACTCAATAAAGTGATAATCACAGCAGGTAACCAGAATTTGGGGGAAATCAGGTTATATTATATCCTAGTAACCAGTGCCTATGTACGTTATTAACATCAGTTTTACGTACGTCTGCTATGTTTCTTAGGAGCAGTCGTAAGTAAAATTGTCGTTGAAGTCTGGTGCAAGCATGCAGGCATTCGACCAACGTTAGTCTACTGTAAGATGCAGATGAGAATTCAGAATTTTATTTTTGCATTTTCGTCTCTAAAAATGAAATAGTGAAAATAATAATTTAAGGAACATTAAAAAGAGTTAATATTTCTTTGGGATGTACAATAAATTATTGTAAAAAAAACTAAAAGAAACATTTTCTGCACTTCAAGAGGTTCGTGCATTTAACAAAAGTAAAAATTACTTTATAAAAATTTTAAAAGTGGTAGTTAATAATTAAAGAAATCAAGTTCACTTTTTCAATAGATTTCACCGTTTAGTTTAACAATAATGAACGCATAAAATTGAGTAAAAAGTTAGGTTAAATACTATACCTAATAGGCACAGAAAAATTATTGTAAACAAAACGACTAAAAGTTTCATAATTTTGTAATAAACCAATTGTAATTGTCAAGTTTTATTTAATATCAACTATTATCATTTATATTTAAATTAAATTTCAGCAAAGGTTTTTTTTATACTATTCTATTAGTCGTGCAAGAACCTCCTTAATCACCTTGTACCATATATTTCCCGTACACACCATTAGTTCGACTGGACAGCGCTGCTGTCTACTTACACATTTGCTATAGTGTCTTATAGTTATTCTACACGAACTCCCAAACTTGTTAAAATCTATACTGTGTTCACAGAAATTTTACATTAATGACATTTTATTCATATTATTCCAACCTACTTGGGAAGTCTTAGAATAATACTCATTTGAATGTTACTTACCATGAGCCAATTATAACAAAATATCACACTTTAAAGTTAAAAATAACTTCAAGACTTCTATAGTTTGTGTATAGCAATGAAATACAGAATACGCTTTATAGAAGTTATTTTAGCACGTATGAATTTACAGTGGTGTAACCACGTGTAATATTATTCATGCCTGCTGCTCACTATTTATAGAATCCATACTTTTGGTTTCATGCATACATATATATTTCTAGACAAAGAACGAAACATATATACCGTTAGAGAAGTACACACTTACGAAAGTAGTAGTAGTAGTAAGAGTTCCATCAAACAAAACAGTAGTGACAGAAGAAATAGAAGAGATATTACTTTTCCTCTCAGAGGGCGCTGACCACTTTTCAGAGAGACAAAATCTATAAAGATACTATTGACATGAAAACAGTTATAAATTATTTTTATCTTCATTTTAATGAACCACGATTCCAATACGTAAAATATGATTGAATTTCAAAAATATATTTGTTCTAAATAAACTCGGTTCACTGACAATGATATGATGAGAAATTAATAGCATAAATTAAACTGACTTTTAATTAATTAGAGTGCATTTAGTGATTTATTAATAAAAGCGAGGAGATGTTGATGAACAAAGTAGTCTAGATTAGCAATCAATTGGAAATGTAAATGGAGAAAATGCATTGGAGTTTTTTTCCTGTGCACATAAGAGGAAATAGAGTGAAAGAAGAATGACAAGAGTAGTGAGAAAAAAGCCATTTCTTATTGCGAGCCAGGAAAAATATTGTCGATACAATGTACATGATTCATCGGTTGCATTCTTGTTACAACCACTCTTGCAAAAGAGAGATCTCAACTCGTTTTTCTCTTCATGTTCTTCTGTATCTCTAAGAGCTTCTTCGCGAAGGCGGATTTGCTCTTGGCAGACAAATCCGCCTGTCCGAGAGTTTTACGGGTGCACTAGCGAGGATAAATTCTGAAAAGCACCTTGCCCTCTTCTTTTCATTTCCTTCTTACGTCATTTTCTCTTTGTACAATGTTCAACCATCCTCGTAAAATAATATAACAATATGTGGTCACGCAATCTCCTATCTTTTGCTCCAAACAATGGTCAGACGTAATAGAATTCACTTTTTTTGTAGCCTGTATTAACTTTGATGTCTTCATGATCGTGATTCAGTTTCATCTTAAATTCTAACATTTTCTGATTATTCTGTCAAGTGGCTAACTCAATTCCTCGGGTATTACCGACATCGAAAAGGAGCATCATATTCACTGCTTATAAGTCGAAACGTGTCTTCAACTGAATAAAAATCCTTTGTTCGATTTCTTTTTATGATTTCCTTTGATGTGTGGCCATTTGTGCGGAGAATGTCTAACATCTGGTTAGCGAATAATACAGTGAATTTGTAGACACCGATACTGGTATTTTTCTTCAATAAAAAGTATTTACAAGTAAAACAAAACTTAAGTATTCAGAAAAGTATTGATTACACAGTACGCTAATATTTTTATTTAAATTTTTCTGCATTTTATAGAGAATGGTTCCATTACAGTTTACTCTATAATTTATTCAACAATGCACCACATTCCATTTAACCTAATAAAAATTCAAACAGTTGTAGGAATAATTTGTGATGCTTTTTAATAACAGAGCTTTATTTCACTAGTGGGGAAAATGGTATATTTTATAACTAGGGAGGAAAAGTAGGTCAATTTTAAGCACGTGTAAAGTGACCTCATTGTTTTCTTGATATTTGAGTTTTTTTTCGTACAATTTTTACAAGGAATATTCAATTAGTTTTAAACAGAAGCATATATTTTACAAGTAGAAGGGAAAGAAGTATTTTCTTGCATCACTTAATTGTCATAATTTTTATAAGATCATATACTTTATTCTCGTGCATAATTATTGCTAATTATTTTAATTGGGAGAAAGGTATTTTTTTAAATTTAAATTTCTTTCAGTTCCTTGTCAACTTTTTTCTAGAGAGACTCAGATAAATGTTTCACTTGCAACGAAATTTTTTTTGTTACCTGAATTAATTTTCTTCTCTTTGCATTTAAATAAAAAACGTCCCTTCAAGATAAATATTTCTCGTAATTATTTAAATCATTTAATGATCAAAAAAAAATTTTACATATCCTTCATTTCTAATTATTCAAGAAAAAAATTTATACCTTGAAGGAATACTCTGAAGTATCAACTTAAATTTAATGTTTCGAGCTAAAAAACTGTGTCAATATGCTGATTAAATATAAATAAAATATTTACCTAAAAGAAGTTGAGAATTTATTTGCAACAAAAAACAATGAAACTTTCATGTGAAAAAATTTGGAAGCTGTCACTTAGCATAGTTTGAATCAACAAAAAATTTTTTTTTTACTGTCTATTTTTCTAGACTCAGCTCTTGCTACTTTAGAAATAAAATTAAAATATTATTTTTTTTCCCTCTAAAATATACTGCAAGTTCTTAGATCCTTTTTAATGCTCCAAGGAGTCTAGACAATTTGAAGAAAAATACTTCAGAAGGTACACAAAGTAAAATGACGTTGACACAAAGTGAATAAAAGAGGCAACGTTCTCTTTTGCAAGCACTCTATGACCTCGATGGTTCGTAACTCTGTTTTCAAACGATGAAATATGCAACTAAATCGAGAGTTCAATTATGCATTCGTGGCAGAGGCCCACCGAAGAGGACAAAGGATCTTTTCTCATCCCCTTTATAGGATAGTTGGCGTAAAAGGTATGACGTATCCCATGAATATTCGACCCTTCGAAAGTTTCTAGATTATACTCAGAGTCTTTTGTCTCGCTCCAGGTACTCGGAGCTTTTTTAAATTCTGAAATCAATGACTACAACAAGTTATGGTTTTTTCAAGATATTGGTTTAGCACATGCAATCTATTTACCCTTTTTTATTCAATTTCTTTACATTTCTTCATTTTAAATTCATCAAATTAAATAATTGATTCAAAATAGAGTTAAAAGCAATTTTTTATTTCTCTTTTATTGCTATAAAAATGTATTTAAGTTACTAAAAAATTAATGGTGTAATTTTAGAATAATAAATGAAAATAAAATACTATGAAATCATCGAAATGTTCTAAACTTAAGAATTATGTCTACTATAGAGTCTATAAAGTCATAATAACTCTTTAGAAATTTTTTTAAAACTCACTTTAGCACAGCCTCTCTTCAGCATTTTAAGGTTGAATTTTTATCACTTTTTTTAGCCATTTTTTTCTCTTTAAAAATAGATAAAAATAAGAGGTGATAAGCTGAAAATGGGGTCAAAAGTTCATGAGCGATAGCTGTAAATGTTGAGTGTAATATGTAACTTATCATCGCTAACTTTTTACTTAACATCATAAACTTATCAAGCCAGTATAGGTTTGCAAGGTTATGATAAGAACGAGACGTCTCCCTAGTACCTATTTTTTCACTGTCATCTTTGGTGGAATAATATACTGTCATCCATATCTATTTCCATACGTCGAAGTTATCACATGTCGACTTATGAGTTGAAAATCATCTCAAAATGTCGAGAATAAAATCGATTCAATCTATAGTTCAAGTACATAACTATTCAGTGAGTTTGGAATAATGTATTTCATATTTTCAGCTAAATCGCTGGTAGGTAAGACTCCTTGTAGACGATTATCCAAGCTGTATAGAATCCTTGACGTTTCTACCAAGTGTAGCGATAGTAGGTACCATGTTTAGATAATGTATATTTTCGTTCAATGTACTTTGCAAACACTGCAAGTGCTTCTAAATAATTTAAAGCTAGAAGAAGTTGAGAGGAAAATGTAATTTTTCACTTTTCTTGATGATTATAATTTTAAAATGCTGGTGTTAAATATCCAAAATGCTTCATTTTTACTAGAGAAACTTTATCCAAGTTTGATGGTTGGTGCTGATAATTCTCTGAACATTAAGTCTACCTGAAACTAAATGGTTATATCTGCTTCAAGATTGGTTTTATGTTAAGATCATTGTGCAATGTGTCGCTAACACCCCAGCAGGAATATACAATAGGTCTAGCATTGAGACTTGCATGAAGTTATCATTGAGCAATGATTGTGTACTCAGCCATAACTAGATGATAGCTTTACTGGTCTGGTATACCCTACTAGGACAATATAACATGGTGTATTGACTAGGATTCTAAATGTCCTGGGTTGAAATATCTGTATAATGTTAAGAGACTAGCATTGAATATCTAAAATATGAATTTAATTCTTACAAGTGAAATTTATTCAAATGTGATGACTTTGATTTTCAGGTCGATCTTCGGCATCTGGACCAGACAGAAGACTCCAACGAAATAAAGATTGGAATCGACCTGACCGATTATTATATCTCCGTCGAGTGGGACATAATAAAAGTGCCTGCCGTGAGGAATGAGAAATTTTACATATGTTGTGAGGAGCCGTATCCTGACATAATGTTCCACATAACCCTACGCCGGAAGACCCTCTTTTACACGGTAAACCTCATAATCCCCTGCGTGGGAATATCATTTCTCTCAGTCCTCGTGTTCTACTTACCGAGTGACAGCGGGGAGAAAGTGTCACTGTCAATTTCGATCCTCCTGTCACTCACCGTGTTCTTTCTTCTCCTTGCCGAGATCATACCGCCCACGTCGCTCACGGTGCCACTTCTCGGCAAATATCTACTGTTTACAATGGTGCTTGTGACGCTATCGGTCGTAGTGACTATTGCTGTGTTAAATGTGAATTTTCGATCGCCCGTCACGCATCGTATGTCCAAGTGGGTGCGCGTGGTCTTTATCGAAGTGTTACCAAAGTATTTGTTTATTGAAAGGCCAAGCAAAGACAATGATGATGATGGTGATGATGATGATGATGACGACCAGACACCTGAGCTCATACTTACCGACGTGTTCCCCCCTCATGAGACTGACAAATACGAGCCGTACGGCAAAAGGTTTGGTGGAGACTACGAGGCCAGAGATTTACCTGCATTACCACCAGTTCCTCCAGTTCCTATTCAATTGAGGTCTCAATCCGGGTACGGACCAACAACTGGCCCAGTAGCTCCAAGATTCGATGAACCTCTGCCACCCCTTCCGCTGCCAAGTGCTGATGACGATCTGTTTGCACCAGCTAGTCCTGGATACATGCAAGAGGACGTCAGTCCCACCTTCGAGAGACCCTTGACTAGGGAAATCGAGAAGACAATTGGGGATGCGAAATTTATTGCTCAACATGCTAAAAACAAGGATAAATTTGAAGGCGTAAGTTTTTTCTTATATTTTTTCCTTTAATTTACTTATAAAGAATTGCTCTGATTTGCATCCATGGTTCATGCATGACATATAAAGTAATGGCTAGTTATGAATAAATTCTGAAGGTCCAGAGATGGCAAAATTCTGACAATTATTCCTCTTCCAAGTAGAAGTTTAATGCATGAATGTCCAGTGATTAACTAATCAGCTATTCATCAAACAGTAACCAATATAAAACTTAAATTAATGAACATATAATTATGTGTATAATGTTCACGTTGATAATCAACTGATTTATTTATAACAACGCACGACTAATTGGTTTGCTTCGAGTTTTTAACTAAGACTTGAGCTGACTAGACACTTTTCCTGTCATGGAGACTTTTCTATCATTGAAAATAAACATTTCAAATGCTTTGTTATTTTGCCTTACTTTATAATGTTTCTATTCAAGTTCGTTTGTGGTAAAAAGATATTCATTTTTTCAGAGATACTTAATTTAATATCAAATAAGACTATCATCAAAATTACTGGAATCGAACAATACTATGATAGCAGTTGGCACTTATTGATTAAACTCGATTGGATCAATAGCCAGTCTAGTTTCCTGATTTGACCCAGCACATTTCATATCATTACTGGATCCAATTTGTTATGACCTATGTACTTTTTTCTTCATTGAACCTATCATTGGTGCTATCATTGTATTAAAAATATAGCAGTCAGCCTATTTCTAGTCCTATACTTCAACTTCCAATAAGTCACATTACTATTTTAAAATAATTTTATTCCAATACCTCTCAATAATCTCTTAAAATAAAACGGTCACATATCAAGTAGCATACGTCATTTCTTTTACTCCTCTGCTGACGCCTCTGGGTTGTTGAGTTACAATTATTTGAGAGCGATAGACAAAAACCTCTTGACACGATCAGGATGACAAGCATGCTCAGCTTCAAAGCTACTTTTACGTATTATTAGACCAGTTAAAGTTGTTCTGCAGTGTTAGTATTCGTCATAGTTTATAGTTTCAGCGTGAATAGCTCTAAAGGCGGACGAAGTGAGTGAGACAGAGTATGAGGTAAAGAGAAAGTCAGGAAACCTTTGCAACCCTAATGGCTGAGCTTAAATCGTCTTATGGATGAATAAAGTGGGTAGCACACATCAATCTTTTTGAATTCTCTGGTCTGACAAGCCCTTTGATACAACGCTTTGCTTCAACCTGCAGTGGTGGCTTTTCTATTCAATTATGATGAGATGTAGCATTACCACCTGTTAACTTTTGACTTGATAAGAAGAATGTTGAGTGATAAGGGATAAAGTAACTTTGTGATTTAGAAGTAGATTATATTTAGACTTTGGTATTTATCTCTGTCGGTATTCTTCCTGTTAATACCAATCAATTCCAAGTTTATTTATAGACTTTGAAGAAACTTTTTTTTTCTCTTCGAGAAGTTTTCGAGCTAGCGAAAGTTCCATAAATTATCCAATACATAAATAACAAAAAATTTTGGTAAAATTTTTAATGCTTTAGACCGTCTGTGAAAGTGATAAAAAAATATTTCTTTTTTTCTTCGAATATGTGGAGAATTCGTATGATAAATTTCTTCAACTGAAGCGGAGTAAAATTTTCCAAAGAATTGCTATCGATTCTCATGAGAAATTCTTTTGAGCAAGACACAAATCAGTGTGCGGATCCTTGAGAGAAAAAAGCTCTGAGTATATAAGAAATAGGAAAGGAAAGTGAGGAAATCCTCCAGAATACTTTTTCGATTCACCGGAAGTGTCGCAGTGTTCACGAAGATAGAGATTCACGGAAGCGTTACATCCGTTCCCCTAGGGGTTAAAGGACCGGAATAGCATGTATAGACGAATAAATTACATGGCCAGAGTATCTAGAGTAGGAGTAAAACGCACTGCGGCAACAGCTCTTTGCCAAAACTCATGTAGGAAAGTATGATGATACCATGGCTACAAACTCGTGGTTAAATTTGCATTGCCAAGTCACAAGCAGGTCTTCTGCTTCTTCGCTAAGACTTGTACTGGGCCTTTAGATTACCCATGCGTCTTTGGAGTAGTCACGTAATTTGCATTGTCTTTACTCGATGCAGTTTTCAACGTTGAAAGCTTCTATTGAGGTTACTTGCTCTAGCGAAGTTGTAATTTCACCTTAGAGACCTTGCATAGCAACCATCACGCAAAGGAAATCTACTTGGGTCGTAAGGTGATCCGATAACGTCTTAGCAAAGTCCAAGACATCCCCACTGGATCAACTTTACTGCAAGTCGACTATACAAAGATCCTTTTCTTCTCTTGCCAAGGAAGGGATTAGATCGTAGCAACAGATTTTGTTTCCTTGGGAAAAAATTCCACTAATTCTTGTCTCTTGCTTTGAGCGTCTGATCTTGCGATAAGTCAGGAAAAAAGTGACCTCACTGTAGCGTCCAACATTTTGATACATAAATGTTTTTTTACTATTTCAATTTTATTCAATAAATATTTTAATCGTTACTCATATATATAAAAAAAAATCTCACTATTAACTTCCTATTAGGAAGTTATTGTAGTTGGGTTGATTGTTGAAATTTGAATTTTCATTGTATCTCCACAAAAATTTAAACAAATTCAGTCGAGCCTTTTTTTATAACAAAAAAAAATAATAATGAATAAATGAAGAAACTATTGACTATTTAAAATACTTTTAACCGAAAGAATGACAATTTCATTTAAAAATTGAGTCGATATTGACTAGACATCCTTGTTTACAACGAAATACGATTTTCATCAATTACGCATTGTTTAAAACAATAAGAATTTGTTATAAACAATTAAAAATTGTATTTATTGAGTAACTAATACGTGCATCACATAAATTTGGATGCCTTCAACAAAATAATGTTATTTATGACGAGATATGATTTTCAACAATTATGTATTTTTTATAACAATTTAAATTTGTCATAAACAATTAATAATGGGAAGTTTGTCGTGTAAGCACAGACAAAGTGTGCTCAGACCTATTTTTTATTTTATATATTCAATAAAAATTCAATTATCTATATTTTTTTTGCAGAGTAAACATATTGTTAATTAAAAAATAACAAGTAATGACTTTTATTAAAAATTTGTCTTGTTTTGTTCCTCATGCATTGTTGAAAACGGCATATTCTTAAATAAATAATGAAGGAGAAGTATGAAAAAGTTCAAAAGCTCGTTACACAACACTCTAGTTCTTTTTTTTACTCATTATTATGCTACAAAGATAACATCACTGGTAACAAAGACTTTCGTGTGCTAAATCACTAACTAACGAGTTACCAGAAGACTAGATATCTCTAGGACTATTCAGATATTGTCTTATTTTTCCTTACGAGTCAAGATTTTTATGGATTGTTCTTATAATTGTTCGTCACATGTCATAGCACGAGCACATGTTTCAAAAATTTGAATGGCCTTTCGTAGTTATGTGGATACAGCTTTTGGATTTTAGGTAGAATACAATAATTTATTTTGAGAATCGGTTTTGCAGGAGGAATTATAGACGAAAGACATAAAACGTTGTCAAATAAGCACTTCAGTTAGCATCCAAGAACTAACTGGATCTATCTGTTTCTCTTCTTATAAACTTTACTCTCCCCAGATGTCTAGGTCCACTGATAGACTGCTAATCTTGATTATCAAGTTTTTCCTGTCTTCAGCCAACCGAGTCCTTGGGTTATTAGAGTTTCTTTCGTTCAATAACGTCCTTTAGAATTTTTCTATCATACCACATCTATATTCTTGAGATTAGTATAACAATAGAATTAGGGGAGCGGAAAGCTGGTTGTAATAATTTATAGTTTTTTCAATAGGGAAGTCAGAAGATTGGATATTTCCATGATGAAGCGCTTCTAAATGAGAGAACATCTGGTTAGGTATTAATTAGAATGATAATTAAACTTTATTAAATTGACAACCATTAGTTGAAAAAATGGCTTTTTGCTAAAGTAGTCACTGCAGAACGTAGTGTTTTAATTTAAAACACTTAAAGTGTTTTAAAACGACGTCACTCATTTGATTCACGTTATAGTCACTTTTTACACACTTAGATCAGCGTTAAAAGTGACTACAATGTTAATCAAATGGGTGACGTCATATTTAACACACTTATCCGCATTAAAACGATGCATTTTGGAAAACTGGAATTTACAATGTACAGTATAGTAATAAAATAATAAAACCAAATAATCGTATGATTCTTAAACATTTATTATGCAATTAGTCCCACGTCGATGTCATTTGTTATTCTCTCGGGATTTGCAAAATCGGACCCATTACAATAACTTCCTACTGGGAAGTTAATAACTTTCTCTCTAAATATGAACCAGTGGAAATAATGGAGTACACTGCAAAATCAGTAAATATAATACAACTGATTCCGTCAGTAGTTTAATTTACAATGCAAAATCAATGAATGTTTACTGAATTTGAAGTGCGTTTTATTTTTTTCACTGCTTCATTTTTAGAGAGTTGTAAGTGCAGCGTATGCAAATTTTATTCACCAGTTCGATCATTATCCATGAATTTTTTCGATAATAATCATCAATATGACTCCAAATGCGTCCCCGAAAAATACTTGCCTTAAAGTTATTTGAATTTATTCTTTGTCATTAAAATGCACCGTAATTATAATGATTTATTACATGACATTTATTTCTTCTATAATTAAAAACAAAGCAAGGAGTGTTATGAACATGCAGAATTCGTGATGAATAAATCATGTTTTTCAATGGCAAAGAATAATAAAATAATAATAATAAAAAATTGATCAGCAAGTTCACAAAAACTTTTGTACACTACGGTAAAAATATGATGACAGAAAAAGTTGATAGCATTGAATGTTTTTTTGTTGCCAGTATAAACTGAAATACTTTAATAAAATGATGTTTATGATATTGTTCCAGGTTGAAGAAGACTGGAAATACGTAGCAATGGTCCTTGACAGAATTTTCCTCTGGATTTTTACAATAGCTTGTGTCGTTGGTACCATATGCATAATTTTCCAAGCACCGAGTTTGTATGACACAACAAAGCCAATTGACATCATGTACAGTAAAATCGCTCAGAGGAGGATGATGCTGATGAATATGGGTCCTGAGGAGGACGATTAGTCGATGATTATTTGCGGCCAACGTGCCGTGGTTTTACATATAAACTCACGCTCGTGCCTCAATATTTATTATACTCGGGTGCGAGCAATAAAAATATAAAAAATATAAAATATTGTTGAAATATCGTCGACTGTCGTCGCTCCTTGCGCTCAAAAATGCACGAAAAGATGAAAAATGCAAGAAGAAAGGGAAGAAGTAGAGGAGAATTCGGTGAGTCGTGCAAAATTGTGTAAAAACATTAAACTTTGAGAACGGCACGTTCGCGGGATACAAATCAAGTAAAACGACTGCGTCGTTGCCGTCCATCGTTCTTTTATCATCTTGTGGATCAGATAAAGGATTTTTAAAGACTAAGGACGACGACAGGACGCGGTGGTGGGGAGCGAAAGTGCCAATTATCGTGCCGTATTTTTGTAAAAACCGGGTTTCTTAAAAAAAATTTTAAAAAAGACTATAGGGATAATGATTAAAACCGCCGCGACGAGAAAATTGTCGGGAGACTTGCTGAACTGCCGATTTTATAATTGAATGAACGTTATAATTATTTTAAAATAAAGAAACAAAAGTTAAATAATATAAATAATTGATAAGAAAATTAAATTTAAAGAAAAAAAAAACATGGTCAAGGAATGAATTAATGAACGAAACAGTTCTTACACATTAAAAAAAAACGATACACACTCAGCATTAGCAACACGCACAAAATGGGGGGAGGGGTAGAGTAATTTTCGCTCTTCTCGCGAAATTCTCAAACATTGAAATGAAAAAACATGTGTAATAAAATAGAATACATTGCTTGTAAACAACTGCCAATTTAAAAATGGCCTCAATCCTAAACGTGTAGGAAGAGGCGAGAAGGCGAGGGATAAAATGGGGTGAAAGGGTGAAATTGCCGTTGTAAAAGGGGACGGAAGACCGTGTGGGATGAGTTGTAGTGAAATAAGAAAGAACTTAAGAAAAAGAAAATAAGAAATAAAATAGAGTGTGGGATACAGATGAAAATAGAGTAGTCAAAACCCCTTGGAGCCTTACCAAAAAATTGGGTTTCGAAGGCGTGGATGTATAAAAAGTAGTGCCAAAGGCTTGGATTATTCTTTTTCTTCTTCTTACGACTTTCCTTATTCTTTTACCTCGTCTCTTGTTATGAGAAAGGAGGGTGTGTAAAAAGACAAAAAAGATTACGGAAACGACTCAAGAAGTAGTTGAAAGACCAAAATGAATTTCTCAGCATAGTTTGAAGTGTGATATCGACAGACAAAAGGAAAAATAGTTGGACCTTGATATCGTGCTTGATACTTGAATTTTTGTGTCACTTACATTTATAGAAAAGTAATATTCTCTCTTATAACCACACTATATCGATTAATTTTTCATTCAAAAAATTAAATAACAATTATTATTTCACTACAAACTTAAATGTTTTACAGTAAATACGTATAAACATGTTCAATGCTGAATGTCTTACACAAACTATAGATATCACATTACATACACATTAAAGTGTGTAATATACATTAACTATATTATAGTATATAATATTTAAATGGTCTTTACACAATTGGATTAAATAAGAGCTAAGAATTAGGACTACGCATGCGCAGATGCATCATAATGTAAAAGAATTGGTTCGTGCGCATGCGCAGTCCTAATTATTTGCTCTTATTTCATCCAATTGTGTAAAGGCCTTAACACATTTGAATTTATTACATAACCATATTGCAAACAAAAGTGTGTTACGATGAATACACAGATGTGGTGAAATACCGATGCCATAACACACATTATGCATCGAAAGTGTGTTAAAATAAGACACCTTGAGCGTGGTTAATGTTAAATTGCTATACACAAACTATAGAACTTTGTAGTCATTCCTAACACACATCAAAGCGTGTTAAAATCTATAGTTCGTTTACGAAGTTTAACATTGAACACGTGTAGATAAGTTTACTGTAACACACCTTGAATTTACAGTGCACACTAGAGCAATAACGCACGCTTTATATAAAAATATCTATAGTTTGTTTACAGCGTTTTGCATTGAATTCACGTATGTTATTTTCTAACAACCTTAAAAGCAAAGTACTTCAAATAACGTGATTATTTAAATTGTTCCAAATAAATATTGGAAAGCCTAACAAATTGAATAACTTGAAAATTCGCTTGAAATTTTTTTTTGATAGTAAAAAAAATGTAACAAAAAATCTATAATTGAATTGAATGTTTATTATTGTTAGATACAAATGGTTCATGTAATCTGATTCGATATTTAATATTATTTTTCTGTGGCATTTGTACAAAAAACAATAGACTCGAGAAATTTAGTAAATATTGATGGATACGTATTAGAAATTTTTGTGGGATATTTATCAGGTAGAAAATGATGGACTACGGCGCTTCCAGCCCCACCCCCTCGCTGCGGTTATAATAATCAATTTATTTGCTCATCTAAAGATAATGGTAACGTTACTGTGCATATATATTATATATACAAATATATATTATATTTAATAGAAGTTAAATAAAAATAATAAAAATAAAAAAATAAAGTTATAAGAAGACATGAACAGTGGTTGAATTAAAAATTTTAAAAAATGAACAATTCGAACTTAAATAAATTTGTGAGCGTGTGAAAAATCATTAGTACTTAATGGTGGCCAGAATTATTGAAATTTGATATAATTCATTGGAATAAATAAAACAAATTTTATAGATTCATAATTTTGAATTATGAGAGAGCATTGGGACAATTTTTGAAAATCAAATTTCTACGGTTAATTTCATTTACTTTGGTCTAAAAAATCTGCTACTTTATTTTCAAACCCATGGTATATTATTTAGGATAATTTTTAAAAAAATTCTTCATAAACAATTGAATAAATAATTTGATTTTTTTTGCCAATAAATTAAAACAGTGCGATGTCAAGCGATTGAATGTAACAAAAATGTGTATGACTAAAAAAAAAACATGTCAGGAAAAAACTGCAACAATAATAAAAATAAATAACAATTATGATTGTTAACAGTAAGAGCTAAATAATAAGTCATATAGTGAGATACTTATTATTCAATTAATAAAAATAATTGAATAAAAAATCTAGTTAGTAAATAAATGGATGAACAATTGTGTACCTATGTTTTGAAGGTTCATATGTAAACGAGAGTGAATGTGAAAATGGAGAGTAAGGGCAAATCAATAAGTAAATAAATAAATATCATAAAATATTAGAAACAAAAATAAATTGAGAAGGTGATAGATTATTAATTCAAATTAAGTCGATTAATTTCAAGTATCGTCAACAACTCGACGTGATATGAGATCGATTGATTGACTTCCTTTCAGCTCCTTTTCATTTCTATCTTTGAGAAACTCGCTTTACTTTAGTGCACTATCAAACCCTAGGGATCTTTACCCTTATTTCCCGCAGTCACACTTGGCGACATATGAGAGACATGAAGCAGCATCGAGTACGAGTAATAAACTTCTCTACCACATCTGTTTACATCATGAATTGAAGACATTTATTTGGTTGATATAGGCAGGCGTTTACGTTAATACTTTCCAGCCCGGTGACCAGTTTATAGCAGTTGATATTGATCAATCGTTGTGCTAACAGAGAAATAGATGCGAACAAATAGAATAGGGGTAGAATAATTAGAACTAATTGATTTCACATGGAAAAAATTACAAGTGTTAATTTATTTTAATTGACAAAATAGCAATCAAAATATTTGAAGGACTTTACAACTGTCATGGAGTATTTTTCACTTGTTTATCGTATACAGTTGTTGGATTTCATTTTTTTTGTACATTCAAAAAAAGCGACCTCTGGTGACTTCTGGAAGTGAGGTTGTAATTTAAGTCCACAAGAACAATACGGATTGTTGACACATAACAAGCAAACTTGATGTCTCCTAAAACGATGTCATTATTATTATATCGTGGTGATATCGGAGTGTTGGTTCTACATGAGCTCTCTGTAATTAATCTGGTTAGCTTTTGCAATAATCCCGAGTCAAAAATATAGTAAAGTGCTACTTTACTACACTATAGTTTTCTATGCTTTTGATAATTAGTCCATTTGCTATAGTTTCGTTCATTCAGCCATTTTTTCCTCTGTGCATTGTTTTTTGGACCATTTTTTTTTATTGTGATAAAAAAATACTAAAACTATGTCAATAGTCCAGTTTTGATACGAAGAGAAATTTAAATTTTATCAATATTTTATTTTCGTTCTCGATGAATATTGAAAAAAACATTTTTCCACTATCATTTCCATAGAAATCTTTATTTCTTCCATGTGGAAAAATTTTCTATCTTTATATACAGTTATTGTAACTATTTTGCACGGAGATTAAGACACGTATTAAAAAAAAAATTTTGATGGTTGAATGTAAATTGTTCGATAAGTTAGAAAAATGATAAAATAATATTTAAAATTAAAGATAATTAAATATAAGTGTGTATATAAATATATATTTATTGACGAATATATATATAAAATCATGACAAACGCTCAATAAATGTTAAACGTATTAAAAGCTCAATTTGCACATTTTATTCGATACACTATCTTTAATAAAACTTTTTTTATTTTCAACGGTTATGACAATCACTTTATTTTATTTATTTTTATTCAAAAATATTCCAGTAGACTTTTCACCTTGTTTTAAGCATACATCCAAATGATAACTATTCAACCATTTAACTATTTTTTTTAATGTAGCATAAATAATTACGATGCCTAATCAATCACGTATTGTTAATGAAAAAATCATTGAAAAAATGGTGAAAAAATAGCAGCAATATCGAAGTAAATCGCTCAAAGTCGAAGCACTTTCACCGCATTATTAATGAAAGGATTGGATAAAAGCTAGAGAATATTGCGAGTTTAATACTGCTGAGAGATAACTTTTTCACATCACATCACTGAGCCCAATAAATGTTTGTAAATAATTGTGATTACATTAAAGACCGTGTAATATGGGATTAGCATAAATAATGAAAATACACGGAATGTCAATCGATCGATCAATTAAATTAATAACTAAATAAATGAATAAATGACGTATACATAAAGTAATATAGGTGCAAGTGTCTAATGTCAAATTTGAATAAAAATAATTTATAAAAAGAATACAAGAAACTATCGCATGTCTTCCTGGGAGTAGCCTACGTTGTAAGACTAATACTCGCGCCTCGAAGTTTCTCGAGCGAGTTATAACACGACGAATTGTTAAGTCAAAGGAATTATAGTGCAATTTATCCTTTTAGCGAGCTTTTCTTCATCCCCTCTCTTTCATCAACACTTTAAAATGAAACAAATGCAAATTTAATATTCAATGGAGAATAAACTGAGTAAATAATATAATAATCCCATTTTTATTATAATTATTTTATATTTTTCTCTACTATTTCTATGGCTATCAAAATATCTAATAAAATAGTTATTGTCAATAAAATATGAAAATCGAGGCGTGAGACATGAGTTTTTCTCAATCAAGTGTGAATAATAAATAACAATTGATTCATGTTTCAAGCAAGAAGGATTAGGGGTATCACATACCGTGTTTATCACACGAAAAAAGAGAAAAAATATTTTTTACAATTATATCATTACCACGATTCATTAAATATCTTTATAATAGTCTATTTCATTTTTATTCACAGTGTGCGATAATGTATTCATTATTAAACGATGTATACT